ATAGATAGATAGATAGATAGATAGATAGATAGATAGATAGATAGATAAATAGATAGACAGACAGACAGGGGAGAGAGAGTGTGTCACTGGCCCAAAGTCACCCAGTGATCTTTCATAGCTAAGGTGGAACTAGAACTCACGGTCTCCCAATTTCTAGCTTAGAACTTAACCACTAGTACAAGGGTCTTCAAACTTGGCAAGTTTAAGAGTTGTGGACTTCAACTCCCAACATTCTTGAGCTAACATGACTGGAGGAGGAATTCTGGGACTTGAAGTCCACAAGTCTTAAAGCTGTCAAGTTTGAAGACCCCTGCACTAGATCAGAGGGGGGGGGGGGGGGAAGGAGAGAGAGAGGAAGGGAGGAAGAGATGAGAATTATTTATTGGCCAAGTGTGATCGTATACACAAGGAATTTGTCTCCAGTGGATAAGCTCACAGCTTATCATACAAACAACAAGGCAATAGATCATAAATCATAGCTACAATCATTAATCATAAGTTGCAAACAACAATTGATAAGTTGTAAGAAACCAATAGGAGAAGATAGTAGGAAAGATGAGAGGATGAGGAAAAAATGAGAAATGAGGCAGGGTTTTGGGAATTAAGTCTTCAACAGAAGGATGTGATTATTTTATTCCAGTGCACCAAAGGGAGTCAGAAGCCAACACCTTTTCTTTCTTTCTTCCCCCTTCCCCCCATGCATTCCCCTTCCCTTTTCCCTCCCTTATCTTTCTTACTTTTTCTTTTGTATTTTGGAATCTCATAGCGTCAATACATAAATAAATAAAAAACCTTTGGTTAGAAAAAGAATAATAGTTTGGGGTTCTTTGCAATTCTCTTAGTCCAATTCGAGCAGCTTAACTTGCTGCAAGACCCTCATGTTGTGCCAGCCGCTTTCCCCATTTCTCTCCCCCCACCCCATCTTAGTTACAAAGTTTTGAAGTCACAACTCCGAGGAGTTTGTGGCCTCTTCATGGTCTGCTGCCATTGCTTTCTGGGAAGAGAAGGAAGTGTAGAATTAAAGCGAGTGAAAAATAACAAGTGACGTCAGGCATATTGGTTTAATTTCTGCGGGTCTGGGAGATACTCCAGGGTCTGATGCTTGGTGTAAATGTGTTGCAGGTGCCCCAGATATCTCATGTCTTCAAAATTGAGGTTCCATATCTTAGAGCCATCCTCTCTGATGCTTGTAGAAACTCTTAACTTAATGATATCCAAAATATACAACCTTCTTCTGAATTTTAAAATGGAAGAAGAAATTGTAAAAAAAACAATGATAGTGTAATGACCCCAGGCGTGGCAAAAAATAACAAAGGCACAAATGTAGATAAATTCCCTTTAATGCCTCCAACTTAGCCCCCAATGTCCAGTTATCCTCAGCGGGAGATCAAACTCTTCCAAAAACAGTCTACGAAGGGAAGAAATGCAGTCCGAACCCAAAATACAAATAAAGTAGAAATTAAAAAAAACACACACAAACTACGCTGAAGTAATTAACACAACAGACCAGGATAATAAATTGCAGACTTCCAAAAGATAATGAGGCACACACAGTTGGGAGGACATCCAAACCCAGATAAGCCTCAACAAAGATAATGCACACTTTGCTTTCAGCAAGGTGCTGTGTGTAAACGCCCCACTTATATCCTGTTCTCCCAGCTGCAACTAATGAAAGGGATCAGCGCCCTTTTCTCTCCCATAAGCCATGTTGCTCCCTCCTCCGTTCCTCCCTCCGTGCCCTAGGATGAAGAGGGGGTGGCCTGGGTCTTCCTCTGAATGCCCAGCCGGACTGTGCCCTTCCCCTGTTTCTTCCACAGCCACCGGAGCCACACTCCCACTCCCTGTCAGCTGCTCAATCTACCTCTCAGAATCAGACTCCAACAAGGGCATGACAGATAGCTTGGGCGAAAAATTTGGGATATAATATTGGAATACTAGGGGGAAATATGGCGGGGGGGGGACTATAAACTAACATTATCAGCAGCGTATAAAGAAAACATATACAAAATGTTCTACAGATGGTATTTATCCCCTGCTAGATTGGCAAAGATGTTTCCAACTAGGAGTCCAAACTGCTAGAAATGTAAAAAAACAAACAGGGCACCTTCTTCCATATGTGGCGGACATGTTCGGAAGCCAAAAGTTATTGGAGTAGAATTCATAAGTGGGTAGAGAAAATAATGAAACAAAAAATTGAATTGAGACCAGAACTGTTTCTATTAGAAATATTAAGGGGTGATCATACTAAGACAGACATATATATCATTTTACATATAATAACTGCGGCCAGGATTGTGTATGCACAGTACTGGAAACAGGAAAATATACCATCTGAGGGGGACAGGGATAAGAAAGATTTTGGACTTCACAGAGATGGACAGGCTGACCTTAGAGTTAAAAGATAGAAATAAAATGGAGTACTATCTGGTCTGGGACGCCTGCTCTACTTGGTTAGACAATAGACATAAAAATAATGTAGTAATTAAGGCATGAATATGAATGTTGACGATGCTGGAACATTGTTGGAAATGTAAATATGTTTTTAAACTGTTGGAAAATGTTTAATAAAATTTATTTAAAAAAGAAAGAAACTCCACTAGAGGGGAGCAGAGATCCATTATTTTGTTCCAGCTAAACTTCCTGAGATTTCAGCTGCTTCTGGTTCAAAAAGAAGCCAATCACACGGATGGGAATGGTGTAGTTTTGACTGCGTGGAATCATGCCTGCTCCTTGGGATGCTCCTGGTTATTGGCCGAATGAGAATGATCTCCCCTCAGTAGGTTGTGTTTCTATTGATTAAGTAATATTTCTCACGAACAAGAACTTCCAAACCACTGGATACACCAGCACCTGGAAAACCACTGGAAATACATTGATATTTCTTGTCATTTAGTCTTCCTTCACACGGTGACGGATGCAAGGAATGTACTCGCCGAACCCTGGAAAGAAAAAGAGATGCTGGCTTTTTGAAGAATGGATTTTGAAATGGACAGAATTAGCAGAGACGGCCGAAATAACTGCCTTGATTAGAGATGAACAGATTAACAAGAGTCGGAAGGGACCTTATAGGTCATCTAGTCCAACCCCCATTTCCCCCCGCCCAAGCAGGAGACCCCCACACCATTTCTGACCAAGGGCAGCCCAGGCTCTTCTTGAAAGCTTCCAGGGATGAAGCTCCCACCACTTCTGAAGGCAAGCCATATAATGGACTAGACAGCTTTATACGAGACTGGAAACCAATTATGGACTTTTTACGCGCTAAATATAATAGCAGATGGTTAACAGAGGGATTTGAAAATTAGTGTAATGTTTAATTCAATGTTGACTGCTTTTTGTATATAATGTAAAATAAAATGTGTGTGTGTGTGTGTGTGTGTGTCAGTGTGGTATGCTACCGGTTTGGACCAGTTCACCCGAACCGGTAGTAAAAAAAAGCCAACGATCAGCTGAGAGGAGGAAAAAATCCTCCAAAAAGCCATCCTCTCCGCTGATTGGTGCTGCAGGCCTCAGCTGGTGTTTGGAAAGCTGCATGCCAGCATTAGGCAAAGCACGCCCACCAAGCCATGCCCACCAAGCCACGCCCACTGAATCGGTGGTAAAACAATTTGAATCCCACCACTGGTGTATATGTATATATGGAAAATGTATTGCTTTTTCTTTTCTTTCAGCACTCAGCCAGGTGTTCTGACCCAGGCTTTGTCAAACTTAATGAAATACAAACTTATTTTAAAAGCAAAAGCTATTTTAATCAACACTGGGAATTACTTTCATTCCTAGCCAGAACTAATCTTAAACAGTTCCCCAAGGGAAGCACATGCCTTTCAGTGCTGTGGGATGCTGCCAAAAAACAGGAGTCCAATTAATTATAACATGAACCAACCAAAGTCCCAGAAAAAACTAACCAGAGTTCACAGAGCTTCAAGAAGGATTCGGAAACTATTGAACTACTTTGCTTCCTGCAAAGATTTCATCATCTTGGCCTGACTTTTATCCCTTATGGGAGGGGCAATCACCTCCCAGCCTTACTCCTCAGTTGCCCCTTTTGTCTTAGCTTTTTTTTTTTTTTACCCTTCATTGTTGTTGTTAGGGTTGAATGCACTTCTAAGTAGTTTTTCCTCGATTATTAATCACTTCTCTTGTCTTCCAGCAAACTGTGTGGACATCGGCCTGGGTTCTTGCAATGACGTATCTTATTCCAAAACGGCATATCCTAATTTACTGGACCAGAAAACCCGAGAAGCTATTGAATACAGTTCCGAATACATCTTGGCGAGTGTACTCCACAACCTCCTGCAGGGAGAATGCAATCCTGACCTGAGGCTCTTGAGTTGCTCCATTATGGCCCCGAAGTGTGAAAACGGGGTGGTCATGAAACCTTGTCGGAGGGTGTGCGAAAGCCTGAGAAAAAATTGCCTCCCGGCTTTCGATGCAATTGAAATGGCTTGGCCGTATTTCCTGGACTGCGACCGCTTTTTTGTGGATGACGTGGAAGGGTGCTTCGATCCATTGGAGAAGCTGCGAGGTAAGACACCAAGCCAGGTGGGTCTCCATGAGCAGAGCTCGGACAGGGAGGAGGTTGGGGAGGAACCTGGGCCAGTCCTGGAGTCTGGGGAAAGCTTGGACGAGGGCTCTGCATCGGAGGCAGCGATGGGGCCAAGGCCGCCTGACAGTTATCATCTGCCTTCGGAGTCAGAGATCAGTGGGGAAGAAGAACAGCTGGAGCCTGTTCCCGGTGTGCGCATGCACCGAGCTGCCAGAAGAAGGGAACAGCTTAGGAACAAGGGTCAACTCGGGAGTAAAGGCACAGGTGGACGGTGAATATACCCCTAGAGTATAAAAGAGGAGCGAAAGGGGAGTGGGATTTGCAGAAGACAGTTAGTTCGTTTAATTGGTGTGAAGATCTGTGCCTGACTTCTGGCCAAGTAATTGCTGCTACAGCGTGGCGTTTGGAAGATATTGGCCTGGCAACTCTCCAAGCCTGAGAAAGGCGTGTAGTTGTGAAATCTCATGAAAGACTGTTAGCCGGGACTTTGCTGGAAAGGAATTCCCTTTGACCTAAATAAAAGGGGTTTAATCAGGACGAGGGGTCGGCTTCATGGTTTTGGAAAGCCTTAGGTCAGAACCATGTTTTTTACCTGGCATGGCCGGACACCTTAAAGCCTCAAATGGGTCAGGAGTGGCTACTGAAGGACCTCAGCTTGGCCCTTTGAAGTTGGCCATCCTGCCGTATTCGCAGCTAGGCTCCACCTCAGCTGGATGCTCACGGAAGAGATCTCTGCTGTGGAAAGATCCCATTTCTTAGGTGGGATCCTTCTCTCCATAGCCAGCTGGTGTCGTGTGCAAGAAAGACAGTTATGACTCCAGGTGTTACTGGGACTCCCAGGTTGATATAATGGTGGTGGGTATAAAATAGAACATTGATGAAGGTTGCTCCCATTTGGCTAGCCTGCACGATGCTCCTTGGGGCCGCGGTTTGTGAAAAGCTAACCCATGGTCTACCTCAACCGCTGACCTGTAAACCCATCTTGCACTTCTTAAAGGGGAAATAGAATTTGCCGAAGAGGCCCTCAGGGAAGCACCATCCTTCATCCAGTTCACCCACCACTCCTTCCCGCAAATGGTGAAAGCTTTGAAGAAGGTGGTCTCCAGGTGTCCTCAGGTGGCCCGGTTGTCCAGCATTGGGCGCAGCTTTGAAGGAAAGGACCTCTTTGTGATTGAGTTCTCCACCAGCCCTGGGAAGCACGAACTGCGTGAGCGACACGAGGCTGTTTGAAATGCATTCTCCTGCACCTTTGGTCTCCTCCCTCTCCCTCTTCTCTCTCCCCCTCCTCTTCCTCCTCCTCTTCTTTCTTCTCCTCCCCCTGCTTCTCTTTCTTCTCTTCCTCCTCCTCTTTCTACTCCTACACTTCTTCTTCTCTCTTCTCCTCCTGCTCCTCTTCCTTCTCTTCCTCCTCCCACTCTTCCTCCTCCTCTTTCTATTCCTACACCTCCTCTTCTTTCTTCTCCTCCTCCTCCTCCTCCTCTTTCTATTCCTACACCTCCTCTTATTTCTTCTTCTCCTCCTGCTCCTTTTCCTCCTCTTTACCTCCTCCTCTTCCTCCTTCTCTCTCTACTCCTACACCTCCTCTTCTTTCTCCTCCTCCTCCTGCTTCTGCTGCTCTTCCTCCTTCTCCTCCACTTCTTCCTCCTGCTCTTTCTACTCCTCCTCCTCCTTTCTTCTCCTCTTTTTTCTTCATCCTTCTCCTCTTCCACTTCCTCCTCCTCTTCTTTTTACTTCTCCTCCTCTTCTTTCTCCTACTCCTCTTTTTCTTCCTCCTGCTCCTTCCCTCCTCCTCCTCCTTCTCCTCTTCCTCCTTCCCCTCCTCTCCCTCCTCCTCCTCCTTCTCGCCTTCCTTCTCCTCCTCCTTGGCCATTCTTCTATTCCTCTCCATCCTGTTCCATCCTGTTCTGCTACTTCCTTCTGAGATAGCTGTTGTTTCCTTTGCCTCTGCAAAGGAGGGCAGGACAGCTGTGGGGCAGAGCTGAATATAGGATCATTAAGAAGCCTTGGCAAGAGGCTCAGTCCTATCCACAGGCCCCCATCCTGCCAGTTGTGGCAGGGCAGCTGAAGCCAAGTGTCAGGATTCTGGCAGTTACCCCCATTTAAATCATGAGTCTTGAGCCAAACTTTCAAAACTTCAAAAGGATTTATTGGGAGTTAACATGTCCGGCACTGCCTGGGTGCAGTTGACTTTGAGACACATCATTCCTTGTCACCCTTGACCCTGGTCTTCCCTCCACCCCCTGGGTGTATCGTAATTCATATTCTCCAATGGGACACATCCATAGCCCAGAGTCATCAATCATGCTCTCCAGTTAGAATTTTGCCTAGCAGAAACTTCAGTCACCTAGTTACTATCTCTGAAAACATTTGTGGAATGCACTTTTGGTTTTGCAAGCTGCCACACTGCTCCCCCTCCCTTTTTGTTGGCAACTCTAAAAAGACCAAAGAAATATTTTATGAGTTGACACCAAGCTGATCGGAGGCCACCAGCAGAAAGGTTGGCTGCCCTTCTTTGAACATCAGGATGCTCATCTAATGGGAGCGTCTCCTGCATTTATCTCTCCACAGTCAAGCCAGAGTTGAAGTATATCGGCAACATGCATGGAAACGAAGTTGTGGGGAGAGAAATGCTGATCTACCTCGCCCAGCATCTGTGTTCAGAATATCTTCTGGGCAACGCCAGGATCCAGAAACTGGTCAACAACACTCGGATTCACCTCCTTCCTTCGATGAACCCAGATGGGTACGAATTGGCAGCAGAAGAGGTAAGCGCCAATTTGGGATCCAAAGGCTAAGGAAGTCAGCTCTCTCCCCAGGAGGGAGCCTAATAAAAACAACTCCTAATTAGCCACTTTGGAATCGATTGTCGTTTGAAAAATATTGTCCTAGTGCAGTGATGGTGAAACTTTTTGGCACCGAGTGCCCAAACCGGAACGCGTGTGCGTGTGCATGCATGAGTGCATCCCGGAATTCCGGAAACCTGAAGACCAGCTGGTCTGTGTATGCCTGTTTTTGGGGTGGCCATTTGGGGGGCTGGTTTGGGGCCATTTTCAGGCTGTTTTTTGGGCCATTTTCAGGCCGTTTTGGGGCCATTTTTTCAGGCCGTTTTGGGGCCATTTTTACAGGCTGTTTTGGAGCCATTTTCAGGCTGTTTTTGGACCATTTTCAGGCTGTTTTGGGGCCATTCTCAGGCTTTTTTTGGGGACCATTTTCAGGCCGTTTTTGGGCCATTTTAAAGTTTTTGGGGGTGCCATTTTCAGGCCGTTTTGGGGGCATTTTCAGTCTGTTTTGGGGGCATTTTCAGGCTGTTTTTGGTCTGTTTTGGGCCATTTTCAGGCTGTTTTGGGGCCATTTTCAGGTCATTTTTTTGGGCCATTTTCAGGCTGTTTTCCAGCCGGTGCTCCAGCGCCCACGAAGACCAGCTGGCCAGCATGCACGTGCATGACAGAAACCAAAAGAGCACGCGTGCCAAAGGTCCTGGTGGACAATCTTACTGTTGTATTATGTGACGTGATCATCCAAATCCATTTAGGGTACAATGCGTGCTTCAGGGCATCCGTGTTTCCATGCTAACTCTGGCCCCTCTCTGAATTCTTGTTCTCTCCTTCTGCTAACAGGGCGCTGGCTATAATGGATGGGTCAACGGGAGGCAAACGGCTCAAAACCTTGATCTCAACAGAAATTTCCCAGATTTGACTTCGGAAGCTTACATACTTGCCAAGATCCGAGGGGCTCGGATGGATCACCTCCCTATTCCCCAATCTTACTGGCTGGGCAAGGTGAGGAATGAGTGAGCACACACACACAGGGTATAGCCTATCAAAACACAGAATGCAGAATGACAGAGCTGGAAGGGACCCTGGAGGCTTTCTAGTCCAACCCCCTGCTCAAGCAAGAGACCCTAAACCATTTCAATCAATCAATCAATCAGAATAGAGCCGGAAGGGACTTCGGAGGTCTTCTAGTCCAACCCCCTGCTCAAGCAGGAAACCTTATACCCGTGATCACGAACCTATGGCACGCGTGGCATCGGTGGCATGGAAAGCCATTTGTGCCAGCACGCAAGCCACAGGCAAATTTACCTCACTGTGGATGCGCGTGCCTCCCAGCTGATTTTCAGGCCTTTTTTCAGCCTGCCAGAGGCTTGAGGGATGCCTCTGCAGGCTTTGCAGGCCAAAAAATGGGCCCGTTTTGTCACTTCCTGTATTTCCGGAAATACCAGA